CCACTTTAGGCTTAGTAAGTTACAATCACATTGGATACCACATAGTCGTTTTTGGCAGGAACACTATTGCATGGATTGATCAGGTTTGTAGTATCCACATCTTACAGATAAGAAAAACGAAGTCCAAGGGTTAGTGCCAAAGTCACCCCACTGGTGAGCAATCAGCCTTGGATTATAACCACAGTGCTTCTCGACGTCAGGATCAGAAACACCGGGGTGGTGTTAAATCCCAGACTGCTGGGTTCCACCTGCCCCCCAAGTTTCCAAAGAAATAAGTCTGGGGTGGGGCCCATGAATGTGAATTTATCAGAGCTCAGGTTTGCTACTGCTGCTGCTGGTCCTAAGATCCAGTTTGCAAACTACTGAGCTAGACTAGAGCAGTGGTTCACAAACATACCTGCTCATTAGAATCTTCTGGAGGCTTAAAATCTACGACCCCTTAACTGCCTCAAGGATGTGGATTTGAAAATACGATCCAGCATTACCACTAGCATATATAACTCAATTATTCCCAGTACAAAAGGATAAATCTGTAACAACTTTGGAAATTCCACAAAATCTGGAAAGTTGTAAGTACACCCACCATTATGATCTCTGAACATGTAATAATCTGGCCACACAGTGTATATCCTATATAACAAAAGGCTAATAGCAAATTGTCCCCTCGACCAGGAGTTCTACCAGCAGGCAGGCTGGCCAACCGCCCATGTCCCCTCCCCCTGGACAGGCTGGCTGGATCCCATCCATGCGTGAATTCATGCTCTGGGCCTCTAATAAATAAATAAATAAATAAATAAATAAATAAATAAATAAATAAATGAAATATATATACTGAGTGGCCAGATTATTATGCGTTCAGAAATCATCATAATCTGGCCACTCAGTGTATAGTAAGTGGTAATACAAAGTATTTGTAGAGCCAACTATTTAGAGAAGTTTTACATTTCTGATTCCAAATTTCCCATTCTGTGACCCACTTTTCTAATGCTTGCCAAATAATCGGAGTTAGCAAATAAGAGATTGCTGAGCATAGGTAAAGCAGTCATGTTTCCTCAATAATATTGTAATGAATATTGATACTTTGAAATTCTTTTCTGAACATGAGAGAGCTGGTTATCTTAGTTTTGACAAAATTTGAAAATCAACCCTGCTTTAAAAATATTCTAATGAAATGTCTTTGAAATGTCTAATGAATGTCTAATGAAATGACTTTTTGTCATTTAAGAAGTAACTTATTTTTATAGATTTAGTCTCAACTCTATGTTGATATTTTATAGATTAGTTTTTAAAAAATGCTACCTATATAATTCATTATGAAAAATCTCCATTCTTTAAAAACTATGTTCCACAGTACTTTTGCTGGTACCACAAATTAGAAATGGATTATTAATATTTTCTTTTGTTAACACAGGGGGGTGGGACAAAAGTGCATTTACAACTGTTTGTATGGAAAATACTACAAGAATGCATAAATAGTAACACAAGAATAAACTGTGTTTTGCATACTCACATCGGGAAACCCTCTTTTGTCACACCCTATATACATGTTTTAAATCTCTTCTAATTACTATCCATTTGTTGTCAGTACCTAGTTATAACCACATTTTATATGTAACGTCTATGTTATTAATTACATATTTTGCAAAAATCTATGGAATATGGGTTGTATTAATCATACGTAGAGTTTACATAGCAGCCCTAAGAAATTCCAAATACTTTGGAAACATTGTTTCATCTACCGGTATGTTCACAGCACTGTGCACTGTTTTCCAGGAGCAGATGGGTCACTGTTACAGCTGAAGGATGAAATGAGAGACACATGCAACGATAACCCCAGCACAGGGCCTGGTGCACAGCCAGTGCCCAGTAAGCAGCTTCCGTTATCGATGCCACTGTTACTACTGACTTTTCGGTGGGACCACGGGTGTGACAGCTTTATGGTGATGTGTGCTTTTCTTACCCAGTAGATATGAAGGCATCAATGTTTGGTTGTTGGGTCCTTTTCTCCAATACCATTGGAGTGGTTATCATCAGAATGCTTTTAAATTGTGTGGCTGTGACAGGATTATCTTTGCGCGCAAAGTCAGGAAGATGTAATGCCTGGTTGTACTAAGAACTTTTCAGAAAGGCACCCAGTCACTGTTAGTTAATTCTGCTACAAGAGACTCAATTCTAGATCTTTCATTTTGCAACAACTTGGAAAAATCATCTCTCAGTGTTTCAAATCTAGGGATGCCTTCCCTTCCTAGGATAGGTTTTTATCCAATCACAGTGACATGGGCGTTTCAAGGTACTAGGAGATAGAGAACAACCAGGGATGTTAGCTTGTTTAACTGTCCTTGATTTATTCATGATGGTGCACACTGCTAACCAGGTATGACCCACAATGCTTCCAGCTCTCCAGCACAGGGGAGTCTTCGCTGGGTTGTCTGGAACACCAGATTGGCGCAACTCACTGTTGTGAAGGATAGACTGAGCCGTTTGCCCACAGCTAAGCTCTGTGGGGAGGGCAAGCCACCCAACAGAAAAGAGATACTGGGATTCCTTTCACAGAGCAAACGATGTGGGCTGGGGCTGACGTCCAGTGACAGCTATTTTTATGTCATTTTATTCAGAAAGCAAGCATAGGTTTCTAGACAGAGACGTCTTCAAAGCATTTTACAAACATTATGTCTGCTTTCCCTCTGTTGCAACATGGATACCATTGCTTCTTGCTGTGCCATGCTGAACCTCAATGTGTACACCTTATTCATCGCATCAGTAACCTGAGGAGGGAGCATTAGCACAGATTAAAATGCCCTGGGTCCAAAGGGATTTCCCTAAACAGAGGGGAACCCAAAGCTGGAAACAAAACACAGCATTATAGAATCAATTCCTATGCACCATTCAAGTTCATGGGCTTTGCCAGGCAAAGAAAGAAAGTTTCCAGGTTGCCACTGGAACACATAGGACTGGCTACAGCACATTTTTAAAGCAACTACAGGCCCAGCAGGTTTCCAAGTAGGAAGCTGGTTACTTCAAGTGCTTTTACAACATTTGACCTACTTCCAATTCCAAAGGGGATTTGATGAAACCTACAAAGAGCAGAAATAAGTAAAAAGATCACTATTTCATCGGAAAGCAATGATACCGAATTTTTTTTTTAAAGTTTTGATTGAATAAATTATTCTCTGAGCTTCCTGGCAGCCAACAGGGAAAAGGTAACGAACAATGGTGGGAAGGTTGAGTCTGCAGGCACAAGGAATGGTTTCCAGTTTGGCAACCTGCAGCTGTCACTTATAGCAGGCTGGCAGGTGTCTTTCTTCCTCCATTCTGTTTCCTTACTTTAAAAATGTGTGGGTAATAAGAATCTGGAGAAAGCTGGGAGAATTCAAGGAGAAACTGTATGTGGAGGAAGACATTAAGGCACAGTAAAACTGAAAGTGGTTATAGTAAATAGCTTACATTATCCAATAAAAAGAAAACAAAGCATTTTCTTAAATCAGTGTTTGATTATCTTACTTCTTAGAGGGTCTGGGACAAGGAGGGCACCTGTTTGCAGAACCAAGGAAAGAAGAGAGAAGGCAGTTCCCAGATATCTTCTCCTGCAGCTTGAGTAAGAGTTTGACCAAGTTCATTCACTCCTTCAAAAAGACAAAAATGCTCAGATCCCAAGCAGCAGACTCAATTCTAGATCTTTCATTTTGCAACAATTTGGAAAAATTATCTCTGTGTTTCAAATCTAGGGGTGCCTTCCCTTCCTAGGATAGGTTTTTATCCAATCACAGTGGGGTGTTTCAAGGTACTAGGAGATAGAAGGCCTGCAGACGGTTTCATGCAGACAGTGCTTCTATGTCATGAGCTCATGATCACAGGCCTAAATAGGCTTTCAATCTGGCCGGCAAACCTGCCACCCTTTCAGGGCTTCTACCGCTCTCCCTCTGCAGAACCTACTTCAAGACTTCCACAATTGCAACCCACTTAATTATTCACTCTTCATATCCCAACTCCAGGAGTCTTCCCTACCTGGTGCCCTTACTGTACAGCACCTATCAGAGTTCCAAACTTATATTTACATCCTTGTTATTGGATCGTTATCACCATTATTAATTACATTATTTGAATTCATTGTTAAACTATTCACCAAAACTATTAATAACTACCTTATTTGCATCACTACTTCGTTTATATCTTGTAGGTGGCTGGTTCCCTGATTGTAGTCTCCAACACAGCAAGGACCTGTTTTTTGTTCAACCATGTGAATAAAAACATTGCATAACACACAGCCCAGCCAATATTTGTTAAATTAATCAGCATTCCTGATCGCTGGAGAACTCTGCCCAGCGGCGCTGGAGGCCTACAATGGGTAGCGAAGGCCCCGTCTAAAGCTCCAGTGGAGTTTGCAACTTTTTGTTGCAAAAGTTTTTTTGGCTAAATGTTTTTTTTGGAAGGCGGCACTAAACGCCCCTTTGGAACAACAAAACTAGACAAGTTCTGAAGCAGCCCTGGAGATACCCACCCACCGACTGCAGCAGACGCCAGCAATAAACCCTGCAAACATCGCGCGCGCAGAGCCCAGCCCAGCGTGCCAGCTGGAGGCTGCGCCGAGACTGCCCCCTTTCATTTCTCCCGCGCGAAATCCGGCCGGACGGCTCCACTCCCGCCCTGTGCCGCAGGGGGGGAGCCCGGCACCCCATACCGGTGGCCGCCCAGGCCGCGCCCATCCGCAGGCCCCTCTCGCTCCGCCAGCGAAGCCAAGTTTCCCGGTCGCGGAGTTTGGATCCCGGGCCGGACCTCGCGGCCCTGGGCGGCGGCGCCAACGGGGCGGCGCGGCGCGCTCCCCCCCCCCCCCCCGGCCCGGCGCCGAGTGCGCCCTCCCCGGGCGCCGGGGCTGCGGGCGCTGCGCCTGGGCTGCGCGGCCGCGGGCGCGCGGGCGGGGGGGCGTTCGCCGTGCGCCGGCCGCGGGGAGAGGCGGGCTCCGGGGCAGCGTGCGCGGAGGAAGCCGGAGTCCGGGTGGAAGCATGGAGCTGGCGGCTCGCGCTCAGGTAAGGGTCTGCCGCCGGCCGCAGCCCCAGCGCCCCGCGGCCCGCCTTCCCGGAGCGCGCCGCCCCCCTCGCCGCCTGCGGTTGGGAACGTGGCCCCGGCCGCGGAGTGGAGGACCGGGCGCGCCCCCGGCCCCGCGGGCCCCGGAGGGGGCGTGCCTCCCCCTGTGCGCCGGGCCGGAGGGGCCGGGGCCTCCGCGCTCGGGCTGGGACCCCGGTGCCCGGTGGGTGCCCCGGGGCGCAGGCCCGCCGCCGGGAGCCCCGGGACTGAGGGCATTTGCAGGGGAGGCTGCGGGGGCGCCGCGCTCCGCGTTGGCTGCGCTCCTGGAACCCGGGCTGGAAGCGGGGAGCTTTTCTGGGGCGCGTGCCCCCCACTTTCTCTCGGCTTTGGCACAGACATAAGGAAGTTTGAGAAAAGCGTAATTTTTCTGAAACACACACACACACACACACACACACACACACACACACACACACACAGCAAAAAACAAACAAAAACCAAAAAACAGTGGAGGGTCAGGCCAGTTTCACCTGGATAAATGGCGTTTAAAAGGAATGACTTTTGTGTTTGTTCTAGAACTTGGGTAAATGTTTTCAAGGAATTTGTAACCACTTGGAGGAGGCCTGGGGGTGGGGATGGCAACGACTTTAGGCCAAATTAAAAAATAAGCCCCCCAAGATCCCAAACCGTATATACGCAGCACGACCCCAATTAACGCGTCGGGGTCTTGAGTAGCCTTTACAAATCTCATTAACCTGCACCTGAGACTAAGTCACCCTTATGTGTCAGTGGGCGCTGGGAACCAGGCTTCCGTGTTCCTTCTTTCTTTTAGAAAGAGCCTTTCTCTACTTTCTAGTAGTGAATGTGTTTTTCTTCCCCAGAGGTAAGCAATCAACACTTTTGCTTTTCAAGTGAACTAAAAATAAAACTTTTTAGAAATGGAAGGAAGCAGCTTGCGAGAGCCCAGGATACTTTGTATGAAGTGTTGGGGTTTTTTTCTTGCCTTTTGTGAGCGCCTCTGACTCACTGCTCCCACACCTGACAGCCTCGGACTGGGGTTTCCCTCCTCCTCCACCTGAGCGCTGGGCCTGGGCGCCCAGGGCCCGCGCCAGGCTGCGGGGTGGCCCTGGTGCCAGAGCCCATGCCCGTCACCTGCCCAATTCTATGGCACATGCAAGGCAGAGCCCATGATGGGCAGTTGGGCTGTGTAGTTAGTACCTTCTGAAAGGCTTTCCGAAAGTGAACGCTTGAGAGAGATCTGTTGTGGATGTTGATAAGAAAGAGGAATCGTTTAACATTTCTCCAATGAGGGAGATAGGAAAAGCAAGGAAAACAGTAACTCGAGGTTAAGAAGGACTGAATCAGGGTTAGATTAAAAAAAAAAATTTTTTTTTTGCCGTTGCACTTTACCATCTAATTAATATCCTGTGCTTCTAGGAAGTCCAGGTGTCTCCAAGATTTAAATAAAGGAGCCCCCTGTGATTGTCACCAGTAACTGTATCTTGATAATGTATCACTCCTGCCTGAGTGCTGTTTTTCTGACGGGCTCACTCCCACCACTTGTGTACATAGCTCATGCTTAGGAAGTTCAGGATGTCCCAACTTGTCTATAGGAAGGGGACATTTTCCTGTTGTGAGGCTAAATTGTGGTAGCTCTGAAATGTTAAAGCTATTTACCACGTGGGGGTAATCCTCCAAATGCTTTTTCCGACACCTTATGCGTCTATTAGGGCAAATTACTAAGCGTAAGGTGATCAGATGTTTTGTTTTGTTTTTTCTTGACTAACGATCTCCTACCTGGCAGTACATGTTAAGGTGTGTGTGGTGATTTTTTTTTTTCCCCCCCCAGTGGATGTGTTCCTGTTCATAATTTAAATGCGGGCAGATTAGAGTCTCCCTAATTTAAATGAGAGGAGAGTGGTTCTGCGGGTTATAAAAGACCTGCTGCGGATAAGAGCGCTGATGAGCATTTCAGGGGCAGCGGGATGGCAAAGCCCCGTGGCTGCACCCTGTGCCCGGCCCCATAAGTAAAGCAGTGTGGCGCACTGCCCGAAGCGTGGTGCTGAGCCGAGTCTCAGCTCAGTGTGCAGTGGTTTAATCTCACACAAACAGGAAATAAGATCTCCATCCCCTGGAAAGCTCAGAGGTGGACGGGGTTCGGCAAGGCAGCCGAGGCCTTGTGCTCCGTGTAGAGGGAGGAGAGGAGAAGAGACTCATTTAAACCCCGAATTCCTCTCTAGACTCTGTTTTAGGAACTATGTTTTATTGATGCTAGAGAGAGAGAGAGAGAGAGAGAGAGAGAGAGAGGAAGGGAGAACGATAGAGGGAGAAAAATATCAATGAGAGAGTAACATCATCATTGGCTGCATCCTGCACGCCCCGTACTGGGGCTGAAGCCCAGAACCTGGGCTTGTGTCCTGACCAGGAGTCCAGCCAGTGACCTCTTGGTTCCTGGGTAGATACTCAAAAAATGCTGAGCCACACGGCTTTTTTCCTTCTTTTTTCTTTTGAAACCTCACCAGCGGGCTGGAGTTGATGTTCTCTGACAGTGATCACACCTCCCGTGGGCTTGTAGTCCTTGTTGGGCTGATCACTGTGTCTTTGTGGTTTCATGTTGAATGACAGGAATAATACCCAGGAGGTGGTCCTGTGCTGAGAGGAGCTGGGGATGAGCCGGCCTCAGCTTCGTGGCAGAGAGCCGGGGAGGTCCTGAGTGTCTGTGCCATCTTCTAACTCTTCTAGCTTCAGGGTGCAGTTTGGTCCCTTAGCGAAGGAAATGATGCTAAGTGTTCTCATGAATATGCAAGAATATTCTCGACCCACAGGTTGAGAACCACTGCTGTAGAGCCCAAGACCATCGGAAAACACAGATATTTACGTTACGATTCATTAACAGTAGCAACATTACAGTTAATGAAGTAGCAACGAAAATAATGTTATGGTTGGGGGTCAGCACAACATGAGGGTCACGGCATTAGAAAGGTTGAGAACCACTGCGCTGTCCTTCCAAGATGACAGCCCCCCTCCCGCCTCTTTTATATAATAGTTCCGTATTTAAAAGGCCACTGGTGGTGGTTTTGATGAACAACTGACTCATCAATTTAAGAGCTGAATTTTTAGTGATCGGGAGAAACCTCAGAGAACAGCAGGTATACAGGACAGAGAGCCATGACACATAATTAGGTGACTTTAAGACAGTATTAATCTTACACTAAGTTAGTGAAAAGATTGATAGAGCCACTTGAATAGAATAGTCCGGGCACGTTCATTTTAAACAGCTGTTGAGAGCTCTTGATCCATCCACACACTGAGTTACAGTTTAGAATGCTTACTTTCTGGATGCAGTTTTGTACAGACTCATTCTAGCTTTATTGACCAAAGTGGAATTGCTTTAGGCTACTTTAGGGGATGGGTAGAGATCAGAAATTAACAGCGGGGCCCTTTTCCTCCCTTTTTGTTTATGAAAAGCAGTGGTTTCTGCGTGTTCTAACATAATACCATGCAGAAGCATATTTGGTAAATAGAGCTAAGTTAACACACAGGAAAAATTGTCTTGCATAGTAAAATCAGTGCCCTCCCTGCACTGCAAAAATACATCCTGGAGGCGGAGTTTGAGTTCAAATCGATGATGTTTTCTGCCTGTTTTGTTTTTTGCTCTCCCCCCCTCCCCCATCATCAGCTGGCGACTGAGGGCTCCCACCTGGTTAGTCTGTTATTAGGTGTTCTTGAAGCACCAGCTGTGTGCTAGGTGTTGTGAGTTACGCTGGAAGCAGGAAGACTCCTGCCTTTTCTGCCTTTGCCAGGGCCCCGCTGGCTTCTGCTCTGTGCTGTGGGGACCTCGGTGGCCCTTGGTTTGGGGGGTGGGAGTTGTTAAGGGCCATCCCTGACCACTGGGACCAGAAGGTCACAGTTTGATTCCCTGTCGGGGCACCTGCCCGAGTTGCAGTCCCGATCCCCAGTATATGGGGCATACAGGAGGCAGCCAACCAATGATTCTCTCTCTTTATTGGTGTTTCTCTCTCTCTCTCCCTCTCCCTTCCTCTCTGAAATCAATAAAAATATACACACACACATATATATATATATATATATATATATATATATATATATATATATATTTTTTTTTTTTTTTTTTTTTTTTAAAGGGCCATTCTTCCCAACCCTCTCCTCTGCCCCCACCCTCGGAAAGGATCACTTCCTTTTAAAAGTCAGGCTGTGCTAGGTACTTACAGTTATCAGGATTAATCCTCACTGTAATTCTCTGAAGTGGGTAGCACTATCTGCATCGTAAAGATAAGGTGAAATTGAGCAGTTGGCTTCAGGCAACCAGCCGGGAAGGAGCGGATGCAGTTCCCGGGGCTTTTGCCTGGCCCTTGCCATTGGAATCACAGACGTGGCCAGATCACCGGATTTTCACGGAAATAATTTTATGAGACTAGAGGTCTTTGCCCAGCCTAGTGCCGCTGAGGTGACCAGGGGCATGCCAAAAAGAAGGTGCTGTTTAATTATGAAGGGTGTCAGCGCTTCTGTTTTTTCTCATGATTACCTTCTGTCTCCCTTCCAATGGAGGGGGCTGGGGTCTCCACGGGAGGAGCTGGTCTTAGGCTCTGCACAGGCTCCCTTGGATGATGTCTGCACATGTCAGCTTCAGAGTAGGAGTAAGGCCCACCAGGCTTTTACATGACAGTGATTTTCACGTGATTTCTATATTGTGTAAGAAATGGCATGGTAAGCCCTAGCCGGTTTGGCTCGGTGGATAGAGCTTTGGCCTGTGGACTGAAAGGTCCCAGGTTCGATTTCGGTCAAGCACAGGTACCTTGGTTTCCGGCACATCCCCAGTGGGGAGTGTGCAGTAGGCAGCTGACTGATGTTTCTCACTCATCGATGTTTCTAACCCCTCTCCTTCTCCCATTCCTTTGTGTAAAAAAAAAAAAAAAAAAAAAAAAATCCATAAAAAATACATATTTTAAAAAAGTCATGTTAAGAGAAGACGAAATGTAAA